TATACAAAATGTATTTTTTTTTGCATTTTGTGCACGTACTCTTAGGAATCGTTAGAGAATTTCATGACTATGTATTGGTGAGCCTGGTATCACTAAGGTCGATAGAAGGGGAAGAGGGGAAGCGGATCCCACGCTACGCATGTGCTCCTCTCTCCTCGGCTCGTTCATTTCCTTTTGGGTGCTGAAGGTGGGAGGTCGTGGTGCTCGATACATCTCGATTTCAACAACGATTTTCTCGCGTAAATGCATCGTCTAATTAAAAATTGCCGCGACGCACGCAGAAAAATTCGCCGAAAGTTCGCGTCACGTTTAAATTCGCAAGGGCTTTATTATAACGCGGCACGAGAACATGGCTGAGGCCGAGTCGATGGAATGTTGTGAACATGTAGGCCACGTGGCAAAGCGGCTAACGCGAGAAGAAATCGAAAAGATGCGGGCCCAAGACTCTCGGCTGGTTTCAGAATTCCGCGCGCATCAATTGGAGCGAGATGCTAAGAAGCACTGGGATCTGTTCTACAAACGGAACGAGAATCGATTCTTTAAAGACAGACACTGGACCACGAGGGAGTTCCACGAACTGCTGGGACTGGGCGCCGAAGAGAAAGAAAATGCCCTTCTCGAAATCGGCTGCGGCGTCGGCAACTTCATTTACCCTTTAATCGAGGACGGATTGAAATTCAAGAAGATCTTCGCCTGCGATCTCTCCCCGAGGGCCGTCGAATTAACGAAGGTATATATTTACTTATTTCATGTAATTCTCTTTGAGGCTCTTCATGTATATAATTCCTGTGCTCTGTTACAGAATCATTCGATGTACGATGCAGAAAAGATGCTGACTTTCCAAACGGATGTTACGACTGAGAATTGTTTCTCCGAGATCCACTGCCCGATAAACGTGGCGACGTTAATATTCGTCTTGTCGGCTATACATCCAGAAAAATTTCAAAAGTAAGCCTCTTTATTCTTACTGTTTTATTTGCAGATTATTTGAACTATTTTAATTATGATTCATCATTTTCCAGAGTTCTACGGAATTTATATAACGTGCTTGCACTTGGCGGAGTCGTGCTGTTCAGAGATTATGGCTTGTACGATATGGCTCAATTAAGATTTAAACCGGGCCATAAAATTAGCGAAAATTTTTATGCCCGACAGGATGGAACGAGGTAAAACTTCTTCACTTTTAACAAGTGTAAAGCACTTTTGTTTTATGTTACTGACGTACGAAACTATGTAGCTACTATGTATATTTCTTCTGCCCTCTCGGACTCCATTTCTTGCGCGCGCGCGTACTAACTACGGCAATGTTGCCACATGTAGCGAACATGCGCGGCAGTTATCGAATTTTTACGTTGAAATTTAAATTCGTGTCTTTCCTCCAGGAGTTATTATTTTTCGGTAGAGGAAGTATCGAGCTTGTTCGAGTCGGTCGGTTTCAAAACTATGGCGTGCGACTATGTACATAGACGTACGATAAATTTGAAGGAAAAGATAGACGTGCCTAGAATTTTCGTTCAGGGAAAATTTGAAAAACTTTGAACTTGGTGCGTATGATTTTTTTTTATGTACAGAAGAATTAGTATTTTTATTAAATGATGATTTCATAGTTCAACTGATTTCTAATGAAGATTGAAAATTGTCTTTCGCTCCTATCTGATAATTAAAATGAAAAGAAAAATGTTTCATTAGGTACGAATGAAGATTTTATAGAATTGTTTTATATTTTAGAAGGGAGAATTCATTTTATGGACGCAACAGTTATTTATGTAAGTTTTTTCGTATTTAAAAATAAATGATTTTATTTGGAAATAATAAATTATGATGAGTGCATAGTTCAACGGATTTCTAATGAAGATTGAAAATTGTCTTTCGCTCCTATCTGATAATATTCTATTTCATTATTCAATCCTTCTATGATTGATATGAATTTTATAGATATTTTTAATAAATTCCAGGATCTCGTATTCTCTTGCGATAATATAGAGAAGCTTGCGTTATATGTGAGTAATTTTTTATATTTCTGTATCATTCACTATAATAATTTCAATGATGTATTTAAATTAATGTTTGATATTTCGTGATATATACATAACATATTTCGTCACTACCTCTGAGAAACAAATATTATTTTAATACATACGAGTCTTCTTGATTTCAATAAAATACAAAAACGGTACTTTTACAGAAAAATGTCTAAATCATCGTTCACCATGATTTACTTATCGACGAGAAATAAAGTAATATATAATTATAAAATGAAGGAGGAATTATACACAGCGGAGTAAAAATTATGAAATATTTTAAGGTACAGATTGCTTTATAAAAATTATTTTTTTTATTACGTTCTACGAAAGTGATGAACAATCTTAGCACAATGATCAAAATGATTTATATTCTATTAGCTCTATCTGAAAGTCTAATATCTTTTAATTAACAAATAAAATTAGGAACGACGAAACCTGAAATATTTCTTTGTTACGTTTCAGACATGAAGAAGAATCCTGTTAGAACTCTTGCGATACTTTTATGTATTCTAATAAAAACTGTATAATATATTTAATAAATAAAATAAAACATAAATTTCAATTATTACCCTAATTTGTCTTTCATTTTCTCTCCTCCCCACATTT